AGACAAAAAATAAGTGTTTACAGATGTGAAAACTTTCAGAAAAGGAGCTAGGAAAATGGAAAACTTGGAAGCTTGCTCAAGAACGCTGGGTTGTTTTACTTATTCTTCGAGTGATGGCTGTCAATGCTTTTTAATTTTTCATAAAGCATATGGCAGTTATTGCTCGTAGGATACTTTAATATACCCAAATGTCATCAAGAGCAGTTTATCATGTGGAAGAAATGTATTTTTCAGACTGTAAAAATGAAACAAAAAAAAATTTAGAGACGAAATTTTGTGATTGGAATTTGAATGAGTAGAAGTAAGTTTTCTTCTTTTTATTACTTTTGACATTTAAGTTATTTATCAATTTCAGCTTTTCTTTTTCTTTAAACAGCCGGACATTGTCAGAATTGTCAGCAAAAATAAAATTGAGGTACCACATGGGGAAAATCTTTAAAAAGTAGTTTCGTCATTGAAAAGAGTGAAATTATATTTTGATAATTTTCACTGTGAAATTATCAAATACAATTTTCACGGATAAATCAGTAATCCACTGAAAAGCATAAAATAAAATTAAATCATATAACCTCTATAATCAAGATCTTATACTCATTTTTTGCTGTTATGTTCAGCTGAATTACTTATTAATTTAATATACTAATCTAATATATCGACTTTTATATTGGTGATTGGTGATTAAAAATTGCCTAGGATAAAATATAAAAACTACCTAAATTATATAAACAAAACTGCCCTTTTCTTTCCACTGATACATTCCGAACGATATTTTTAAAAATTTCCATGATAATTGATTATTTTTGAATATCTATATACAAAATTGAACACAATTACGGCAAATTGTAAAGTTATTTTGAGTTTTACCTGTGCACTATTCATTTGCACTTGTGTGGGCATAATGTCATTAAAGTATAATTTTATCTTCGTCTTACTTTTATCATCAAAATTATCAAACTTTTCGTCATCCTTAAAGTAATCATCATCATTATCATTATCATCATCATCATTTTTATAATCGTCGATAAATCCATGCGTGTTAAAAAAAAATTACATTTTACAAGGACTATATCAAGTGCGCATTTAAGGTAAACTACGTTAAATTTGGTATAATGCGCTTTTATCCAACTTACTTATTTTTTTCTTTACTTAAATGGAGACAAACATTGACAGAGATTTTCATTACCGATCGTAATCTTCTTTTTTGTAAAGCGTGTGGATATACTTAAACTGTAAATCATACATGAATGTTTTTGTTTCACACAAATAGTATTTTAATTCAACCGATAGTTGTTCAAACCTTTCCAAAAACAGGTTTAAAGCTAATACTGGTTCACAGCTTAATAATTTAACTTCTCTACACTCATGTTGTTGTTTTTTATTCTTATGGTAATGCATTTTAGAGAGCTGTTCATATTCGCATGTGGATTAAATAACATATTGAAACAGAATAATAAAGTTCGAACTATCTTACTTATTAGGTTCAGTGATTATACATATTTTATGCATTTTAAATGGATGTAAAATTATGAAAATAAGTTTTCCAACGACCACTGGCAGAGAGCCAAATCATGCTTTATATCATATATAATATTTGCCTTTCGATAAGTTAGGCTGTTGTGAATTTAAAATACATCTATAAATCTTAGTTCATGTAATGTGAAGGACAGATATTACAAGATAATAACATATTTTATGGTTTGGTACAGGATTTGTTTTTCAAATTGATTTATAATACTTCGTGACGGAAAAAAAAGAATACCGACATGAGTTCTTTTTAAATTGATTTATGCTTTGTAAGGAAAAAGATCATACCGCATAGAAATGCCTTGTAAAATGAAATAAAATACTTTTATGATGAAATCCTTTGCGATTAAAGGGAGACACAGGCAAAGGCAAAAAATTCACTTTTTTTTATTTGAATTTTCTTTCAATTTTCTATAAATGTCCTCGAAATAAATAATCTTAGCAGTCAAAGGCACATTTCTCCTTAAAAGGAAACAAATGGTGTTTCCCAAACTTGAGCCGTATAGAGCATTTACATTTCACGATAGTTGTTGTAGAGAACTATGAAAACGTTAAAGTACCTGTCAAATAAATAACTTAGACTTATTTAAATCTAACAATATCCGTGATATCTGTTTTTTGTAATTTCATGATTTTTTTAGTAACAGGACTTGATTTAAAACTACTTTGTGAATCTGTCGGCGTGTTAACATCGCCCAATACATAGAGACATAATTAAGCTTCAAGCCCAAAATATTTATAAAGATATTCCTGCTAGGACTTTTAAAAATGTCATTTTAGCATGATTTTTGTACATAAGATCAATTTAATGAACAGGCTTAATCAAACCGAGCCTGCAACATTTTCAATTTTGCCGTGTTGGGCTTTCTTTAGGGATCCTTATTTCTCTCTATTTTTCGCCACATCAGCGTTGTTTGTGCCGTGTGGAGGCTGTTAAAAGTCGCCCGTACATTCAATCAGGGATGTTATGTTTCCGATCCTTAAAGATCGTTCAGCATGGCATTATTGTTGTGCTTGTGGTATTTTAGTTCTTTCTATTTGGCATCTTTCTTGTTGGGTGGTTTCAGTATTCCTCAATTGGATACTGTCGAATAACCCTTAGGATATGTGGCCTGCTTTTGAAATTTGTCTCTTGAAGTCATATCTGTGATATGCAGGCTTCATAACCTCAGATTCCCTTTTAAAATTCCATTTTATTTAGTGTTTCTCATTGTTTTCTCTTTAAGGGCACACGCATTTTTTACTTGGGGACAATATGCCGCTTTTCATGGAATGGCACTAACGTGTCACATTGAAGATTCCATGATAACCGCCATATGAACACATTAGCGGATGTTTCACAATTCATAATTTTACCAGTTCATCTACTTAAGCCGGTGCTAGGGGCGTGGACGACGGTAGTTTGCATTTGACAGCACCGTCCATGAACATGCTCAATCAAACCGAGCCTGCAACATTTTCAATTTTGCCGTGTTGGGCTTTCTTTGGGGATTCTTATTTCTCTCTTTATTATTACTTTTGTCATTTATTTGCCTAAGCATCCCTTTAAGGATATTATTGATTGTAATAATCAACCTTTGGCCTTTGAACAATATATTTTGGATAAAAAACAATATCTTTATTACAAGAATACGTTTTTAATTTTAAAGCTTTTAAGGAATCCTTACATTAACATGAATGTTATATATGTGAAATAATGTTTAAATGAGACACTAAATGATTATGCAACATTCAACACGCTTTATGCAAATTTCGTACGTAGTGCGGATAACATTTGAGACTTTTCTAAACACAAGTTTTAATTAAAATAGTTTAATTAAAATAGCTGAGAAATAACAAAATTAATAATACGTAGACACATATCCAGTGTCTTTTACGTACACTACATGTGGTGACAACATACTATAATTATCTGTTGACTGCTAAATGTTATGTTTACATTTCGGCATTCTCATTAAAACAATTTTTTTCATATTCAAAGCAGGTTGAGACAATTACAGGTATTGAACAGTGTAATAGTAAAATTCTGAGGAAACAAAGATACAAATAAAATCAGATACTATTTTACTTTCTGTAAAAAAAATCACAGAAAAAAACTGTATTAATAAATTATTTAATTAAACGTATTTAAACAACTAGATAATTTAATATTTAGAGAAGTAGACAAAATATTTAAGGATATACACTTTAAGATGAATACTAAACGATATTTGTTTAACTACTATATAAACACATTACTTTCTTATAACAAACAAATATTTTTTGCATATATTGACATTATAAATTTGTGTTTGGATATTACAGTAATAGACAAGCCCAAATAACTTCATTTGTAGAATTTTGCAATATCTCAATTACTTACAAAATCTTTCTCATTTTCCTAAAACAGAACAACATAATAATAAACGGTAAGCGTGCTGCTTCAGTTTAAAGAAATAATTCATACAAGTTCGCAGTTTATCTCAGAATGGTTCAAAGTGGATAAACATACCGTTTTTCTAGTTTCATTAAAGTGAAATTCATAACTGATTGTAATAACATCTTAACTCAATGCATATTTAAACATTTAAGACTCATAAAGATAAAAACATCTGCCTTAAGCAGATAACTAAAATATTGAAATACGTGAAACGGTTTATGATACATAAATAATTCTATTTCACTTAAATATTTTGTTTTATATCTTTAAATACATAAACGTACATGATTCTTTTTATTCGGTGTACCTGAGTCATTTTCCAATCCACTCGTGTCATATTACACTTAATTTAGCACATTAAATGTAATTGAGACCATTTTTACGAGTTTACGCCGAATTCGTGTATGAAACACTGAAGGACCGTTCGACTATCTCATTAAAAGTAGTTAAATCCTCTTTTACCAGTTTCCTTCTATTAATATGCGACAATGGTAGTATGGTTAAATGTATAAAAGTATACAGAATATGAAAAAATAATGCTTTAAATGTGTTAAATGTGCATATTTATTTGACGAAACACAAAAGTTACGCTCAAAACAGCAATCAGGTTGTCTTTCTCACGAATGATCTAGAAAAGTAAACACATTCCTGAAAAAAAATATAATGCTGGTTAAAGTATAATGTCGTAGCAGCCGTATGCGCCAAATTATCTCTTTAAATTTGATTAAGAATAAAATATTTTGATTCGTTTACTTACTGTGGGATTTGTTTTGGCAATAGCGTTTCACAGATTCGGTGTTACTTTTACGTTAATAGCACATTCCTGCGTTACTGGATATGTACAGTGAAATACCGATATAAGAATTATGACTATTATAATGTTAAGGTTCGATAACGTTCGACTAAGTTAATAGTGACTTACCAATGTATTGAAACTTGAAAATTGCAGACATGAATAATGTATTCGAAAAAAATCTGCTTCACTAATTTCTGTAATTTTACATGTACATAGCTAAAATATAAAATGTAATATCAATTTGAAAATAAACGTTTGTACCTTGTACAATCTCCTTAGCTTTTGCTTTTTTGACGCACACTGTAAGTGCAACTATTGCTATGACAATTACAGCTGCTGCAGACGACAATCCAACAGCAAGTATAGGAAGATTTTTCTTCTTCTCTTTTTCTACCACATCCTCTTCTGTAGCCTCGTCGTCTGTGTTACTATGCGAGTAAACAATGTCACCTTCTATTGCTATTCGGTAACCATTGGCAACAAGTATTGAAATGATATTTGAAACATCACCTACGTTTCCAGCCTCGTCTTTTGCCCTAATAGCGAAATATTTGGTTGATGTGTACGACTCTTCTGCATTTACTTCTATCCTTAGGAACTCTGTTACGCCTGCAGCCTTCGGTGTGAAGTTTGCATTAGAAACACTGAGATATTCAGCATTGGAAAAATCGTTTGTCAAAATGTTATTGTCGCTTGATATTCTTATCTCATATTCCATAGCTTAAAGTAAAAGGCAGGTCCAGTTATGAAATACATCTTCAAATAACATAACTTAAATGGAGAAGCGTACAATTGTCTGCGAATAAATGTTTAATGATAATAATGGTATGATTTTTCACGAATATGAGAACAAAAATATTATATAAAATTTAATGATGAAGATGACAAAAACGAGAATAACGTTGATACTGATAATTATCACTACCATAATTAAAATGATTACTGTTCTATTACTATAATTTTAGCAAGAAACTTTGTGTAATACAGTAAATGCGCACCTTGGCCAATGTTAACATCGTCGCCGGTTGCCGTCCATGTAATGGTGAAGTTTCTACTCTCGCCATAAGGAGTATTTTCTGTAGATATATCTATGATAGAAACATCTGTAATACGACCTGGTGCAGTAACATCACCGGCTACATAATTATTGACTATGATTTCATTTGCAACACTTTGGCGCTGAAAGTTGTCTTGTAGAACTTCATTACTAGTTTCCTCTTCATCTGCATTGTAAATTACCAATTATTTGTAACGGTTACAAACAATGTACTGTAACTGATGTCCAATGCATTCTCTAAATATGCAGTAGCAAAGGAAATATAATTTAATTAATTTGAATACTGCGGGGCATCTTAAATAGAAATTGATCAGTCATAACTGGAAAATGAGTACAGAAACTACAATAGACTGAATTTATGTAATCAAAAAATTGATAATTTATATTTTTTCTTTTAATACTAAGTAACAAGATGAAACAACTGAGTAGTACTATAACCTGAATCTGGGGACCCTGCACCACTGAAGACATCGGCAACAGTTGCTGTACCATTCTCTCCTTTAACATAAACCTTTGCACTCACACGACCATTTTGGCCGATACAAAATGCTGGAATTACTCCAGCATATACCCCATCGTCAGACGTGTCATCAGGATCTTAACATAAAGAACATAACTTACTCATCCGAGTGATTAAATTTTGTTTTTCTAAATGAATATCATGTACGTGTTATTGGTATAATTTTCCTGCGCATCAGTCGAATGTTTAAATTCAAGTTCACTTTCTCACAGAGCTGTTTTAGCGTTGATTTGTATTTAAATTCAAAGCTTTTAATGTTTCGTGATAAAAGAAACTTTTTTGTATGGCTAATTGACGTTTTGTATTGCTAATTGACCAATTGTCACATCGGTCAACTAATATAAAAAATAAGCATTAAAAATATAATAGAATCGAACCTGCCCCATCATCAAGTAATGAAATTGTACAATCATTAGTAGCTGATGTTTCCACAAGTGCTGTAACAATCGCATTTAAAACAGCCGCTCTTCCTTTCATTACGTCGGCTTCAACAACAGGTAATTCCCCAGAGTTAAAGTCAAAATCCACAGGAGATATCCATGAAAAGACACGAACAGCCTCCGCGTCGGTAGGTAAAGATGTAACGTAAAGCTCCAAAGATGACGTGCTTGATTCGATGGAAACATTATATTGCCCGGCCTATTATGAAAAAACGAATTGAATTAGTTCAATCAGGTCAGTTACTAATCAAATTAATCTTAATCGAAATTGTACATAAATGCATGAACAAAATGAGATATAAATAGTGGTTTGTTTATCTGTCTGTCTATATGTATGTCTGTATATAAGTTTTTCTTATTCATTTCTTTTTTTCAAATGTCTGTTGTTATTTCTATCAATATATTCGTTTCACTTAATTGTGTTTATGTTGTCTTTTATTTATTATTCGTTATTATTCTGACGTAATTGTTTACAAGCTTACTGCGGAATATATAACTTATATTTTGAAATTAACTTTGCTTTTTTAAGCTTTTAAGCCGATCGAGTATATGCTTCTTACAATGGCTGTACCAGGTATGTCCAACACAACATTGTCGTCAGAAGTTTGTTTTGTATAAACAGTTCCATCAGGACTTGTGACATCAACCCTCAGAGCCGCTGAGCTGCCTTGAAGTATGCTAACCGAGGTACTATTTCCTATGCTGCTGTCTATATCAAAACTAGTCTGTATGTTATTTGATAATCCACCGGTATAATGTTCTGACACAACCTAAAAAACAATGTTATTTCTATTCATTTTATTCAAAGAATATCAGCTAATTGAAGATCATCAAGCATTATCGCATTTGATGAAGTAACAAATTAATATCTACCAAATTTTTAATTTTTGATTAATGCTAGAAGTTATATTATTTAATATACCATCTAACATACTTTGATTTCTTTATATTGTTCATACTAGTTTTGTAATAAGTAAACATCTTCGTTTAAAAGTTATGAAATTGTTGACAACAAACTTGTTTGTTGTGACATTACCGTTACTGACTCTGTGGCAAACGATGTAACTGCACTGGACAATATTTCCGTAAATGCTGAGGCAATGCTTATTGTTCCGACCTCAAGATAAGAGATATGGCTGCCACCTGTTGCTGTTGCCATCGATATCATACGGATATCCGCATCTTGTGACACAGAAATACTGTGTATAGTTACGCTTGCGTCAACAGCATTTTGTATTGCACTATCGAGGTCACCTTCGTTATTGCCACCATCTGATATCACTATTATCTCTGATCCGGCAGGATCGCCAAGTTTAGCCGTTAGCAACTATACAATTCATATAAAGGTATTCTCAACAAAAGGTTCAGTACAAATCTAAATGTGTTTATCACCTGAAACTAAAACTTGGAAATGCGTGATATTTTGTAAAATCACCAGTGTCTATATTGTTGTAATGTTAAAAATTGAAATTGTGTCTGCATTGTGTACAACAGCATGGTCGCTTAATCCGCGGGTTTAACGTGCTTTGCAAAATATACGAGTATTTGATAAAAATGTTGTCTCGTGTATATACATTATGAAAAACACGAAATAGTTTTTTTGCCTATACAACAAGGGTCAGAGGCTTGTTTCTTTATCCGGTTAAAATAAAGGGGCGGAATTCTCAGGAAGAATGTTGCTGAATGAGCATAAAATATATAGCTGCTATATAGCTAACATTTCACAAAGGCAAGAAGATGTCATTGGTATTTTTCGGAAAATATATTTTAGCAGTAAAGATATCGAGCTTTAAGTCATACATTCACATTAGGCATATACCCTCGAGTTTTTGCGAATATCGATTATCATCATTTACCTCAGAAGTATCGTAGTTTCTTTCAATTAAGCGCATATTGCTATGTAGATATTATAAAAAAACTAAAACAATATGCATCTCATGTTTATTAAAATGTCAAATTGACAATTCAAATATTTTAGAAAATTATTTCATCAGACACATAATCGAAGTACTCGGCGCTTTTGTTAAGCGTTTATAAACTCGTAGCGAGTTTAGAATATGATAACATATTAGAAAATACAGCTACTTTAACTGCTTTTGTTTTCCGTTTTCAAATTTTTACACAGGTGACAAATCGAAGTATTATTAAACCATCAAGTACAATGCTCATTTTAAAATGAGTTTTTAAATATACCTGTAAAGCAGTTGTTATCCCACATCCAATACAAGTACCACCAAGTGCTGACCGAGGTAATGCCGATATCATATCATCTCTATCTTGCTGAGACTTTACTTGCGTCATATCTTTCAATGTATAAGATATTGTTTCAAATGAAACGATGCCAAGCCAACTATAGTCGGGTATCTTCGTTTGGATGATATACGCACTTGCTTGTATCATTTTGGTTAGTCTAGAAGTCTAAATATAATAAAATAATTGAGAAAAGCAATTGCTTGAGTATTTTTTATCATTGCACTTTCTTGAAAATAAGTAAAAAAGGAGCTTGTTTACAAAAGGAGTTTGTAATGGAATTGAAAAATGTCACTTACATCAAAAGCAATCATGTCCATACTACCAGAAACATCTAATACAAACACACGATATCCAACAGTTTCTTGTAACAGTCTAAAGGTTGGTACAGTGTTTGTAAATGTTGGCAAAGGTGTTGCTGGAAGGAAGAAGAATAAAAATATGCTCATATTAAAACCTTTGAAGTAAGTAATTTTAAATGAGAATCAATAGTTGATGCTCTAGGAATCAAATTAATAAGTTTAGTAATTTATAGTTTGCTTGAACAACACATATTTCATTATCTTATTGTTAAGGGATGACACCCTGCCTTGTTGATCTTTGTGTTAGTATTCTACTAGTTTGCAACATGCTTTCCATAAAGAGCATTTAAGCAGCAGTGTAAAAAGTTGTAAGGCCGATACATCTACATGATTTGGAGAACTGGTTTTGTCTCATAGAAAATACTTTAGTACTGTTAGTGTCACTAGTGATACAATAGTACTAAACTGAAAACATGATGAATGTCTTTGTAATAAAATGGGGTTCGATTATATTTATTTCGATTCCTGTGACTGTCTTGAGATACGACATTGGTTATAACATTTGATACTTTATATTGTAAATTAAATCTGCAACGAAAATTAGAGGACGAATCTCATTTTTATAGTAAAATGCACAATGTATCCAGTGCTTACCGCAAGCATTTAACTTGTCCAGAATCGTGAACTTTATATAGATTAGCAAATTATTTCATAAAAGCGTTAAAAGAAAGAACGATTAATTTTAAGGAGCTCCACTGAGGTCAAAAAGTCTAAAAACATAAACTTTGAAATTCTTAAATAGCTCTTATAAATCATTTTAAATGGAAAAAATTCTACAAAGGAAAATAAGACAGCTACTCAAAATGAAAAACATTTTTTGTGTGTGTCACTGTGTAAAACACAAATGATTATTTGGGAAAGACGGGATGGGGAGGGGAGAGAACGATCTTAAAATTTGCACACATGTTATTTGGCCACACCTACATCGAATTAAACACAGTCCCGTCATGTAAAACAACTTCAGTTCGCAAAGTAGATATGCTGTTTGTGTATGATAAATTTATAAAGATATATTATGCTATAAGTTAAAAAGATTCTGTAAAACAATAAAAAAAAACAATATGTTGTTGTACGTTTAAAAATTTGATTTATACCTGTTTTGAAGTCTTCATGTTCCCTCATTACTTCCCAGGAACTTCGGCCTTTACATTTCAAATTTTGTTCACTCTTTCCGTTACTGTTGTGTCTTTGGTGAACAGGAACACTTGTGTCATTCTCATGATCACAGAAAGTAACAACCTGAGACATGAAAACACAATGGAAGTATAGTACATTTCTCTAAAGTAAAATGTGGAATATTTTAATACACATGTACGGTTACATGCAAATCCTAAAGAAAAACTTTTAAATAAATTAAGATCCTCTTATTATTTCAGAGGCCGGAATATAATATGATAAATTTATGAACAAACTAATAAATACAGCTTGAGGCATCGGCTAAAGATGTCAACCAGATCTAATCAGTAATTTCGTGATATTAGTTTTAAATTGAATTCATAACTCCAATTTGCCTTTTAAACAGTTTATGATCTATTATTTCTAACAAATAGTACACGAATATAGCTTTCTTTATTTCTACATGTTAAGACGACAAAGAACAAAGGGAAAACAAAACATCATTTCGTTAAAGTACAGACACATCTAGGTTGAATATGTTGAAAAAGACAATGCAAAGAACCAAAGCATGGTCGGGATTAAGAGCATTTATCAAGGCTTCATGCCAAAAGAAGCTGTAACCACATACCGCATCGAGCCAATTAAATGCCATTATGGAGCTCATGTTGGATAATGGCTGTGATTCATCAGGGCAGAACTTGCAAGCTTCATTTATGAGTATTTCAGTTTTAGAAATGTCACATTTCGATATCCCTCGTGTGCATTGTGATCCTCTGCCAACTTGACCCATAATATATGCACTACATCTATTTCGGACATTTATAATATGAAAAATTAATGGTAAGCATTTGAACGAGAATAATAAATAAAAGAACATGAATAACCAACATTACCTTTGTATAGCCAGATTTGTTTGTATGTTCATGAACATTCATATTTATCGGGATAGCTTAATAGACAAAACAGACAGTCAAAATCTATCAATTATAAACAATCATATTTTTGTGGGCTTTGGCAAGCTTTTGTTGCAAAATCGCGATTTACTGTTGTAAAATGCCATCCGTCTATTATAGGTGCAAAGATCGTGTGATGTCCTAGCTAGTGTCATGCAGTTTGAAAGCAATTAATAATGATGTACACAATCTTTTATCAGTTTTATATCCATAAAATGATAATATACTTTAAGTTGGTTCAATATAAATGATATAACCCTGGTTCAATATAAATGATATTACCCTACAGGCTTCCATTCACCACCTTTCAAGTAAAATCGTCCATTTCGCTTTGTCCCGTATTCATCCCATAGTCCCCATCTCAAATGACCCCACTCATGCACCACAACGTTCGCTGTATAAAATAACATAATAGATCTACGTAAGAAACATTCATTCTAAGAAAAAAAGTCTAAATGATAAAGTCTAAGTTGTAAATAAATATTTTAAAGTCCATGTAGCATTGTCTATAGCCATTATTTGACATATTTCTCTAGAAATCTAAAAATAAATCCATATATCCACTGTTGTACAGATACTCGGCCGAAGTCAAACTTGTTAACTTGCATAGGATAAGCTACTACTTACCAAAATAGAACATTTCATTCGTCCTCAACAGTTTTATTACAGTTCATTTTTACCCGCAATGTTTTTCCCCATTAATTGTCATCTTATACTAATTCAACGGAGAATTTTGCAACTGTAAATTAGTCGAAAGTTCGTTTCAATCATCTTATGCCCGGTTCGAGAAGAGAATATAATGACTATAACAGCTTAGAAGAGAAACCCAATCGAACGCAAAAGTATCAAAAAGGCGATCTGTCATAATATTTAATTACATATATTTATGAAGAGTTGTTAGAAACATCTAGAAAACATTATTATTGTGTTTTTATATTTATTCTGAATTATATCTTTTTCCAGCACTTCTTTCCATCGCGCAATCGAACAGACCTCTACCTATAACGGAAGCTCTTCTAAAGTATCAATCGAACAGGTGTTAAAATGACCAATGAAAATTCTGCCTACATTCATTTCTTTACTGTCAATTTTAAATCAAGGTGAAATCAGACGGCCTTCGCCCGAAAAAGATGTACTTTGAGTTCACCCAAGTAATTTTTCAACTTATTTCTCTATCATAAATTAATCGATTTTTCCAAACTAAACAATTTTGTAAAAATGAATACATCTGGTTTTATAACAGTATTTGCTTTTTCTGCAAATTGAACACTTTTGTTAAATTGGCGATAAAATGTAGCATATTTGTTGACATTTGCGAACTATGTTGATATTTACCATTAAATCAAGCCCAAAACGCATGTTCTGTCTTCTAGTTCAAAATATAGACTTCCCTCTACTTGTGTTTGACTGGTCACCCATCAACTCGAGCTGCTTTTAGCAAAATTTGCGAAAAACAGTCCTGCCTTGTGTACAGAGTCTAGCACGGTTTTGTGAAAAACTGTTTAGCAAGTGTACGCGCTGAAGTAGGTGAACGAATGTTATTTTCGGCAAAAATAAACCTAAGTACGAGCATGTACGTACGCTAATAAGGAATAACGATCGATGTCGGTAGCAGGGATTGTCCAGTGAAACATTTTTATATTGTTCATCAAAGGATAAAAAATGTTAAATAAGAAACACTAAATCATATATACGTAACATGAATATTAATAGTAGTAAACCGTTTCCGTCCTGATAGACAACTTTTTATATGTGCCTTTGAGTTTATAGGAAAAATATAATACTCAGTAAATCTTATTTCATTACACATTAAACAATAATAAGTATAGACTAAAAGCTGTGCATTTCGGTACACCTCAAACAAAGACCATCTTCGAGCAATTCTGTTGGCGATTTGCCTTTATTTTCAAAATAAAAGATATAATATACATAACAACAAATTGTTTTAAAAAATAGTGTGAGATTCAGCAAATGATGTAGAATAGATCAAAGTACATTGTGTAATTGCTTCCCTCAAAGTTTCCTGACTCACTCCTATATCATTCTTCACAGATAACTTGAGATTAACTCACAAGGGTGTTATTATTTAAACGGGGGCATTTGGCGTGAGTGTGTCTATATTGTATGGCTCATAAGGGGTGTAGTAAGGGTGCTGTGTTATCACTTTAATTAGTGGCTTTAGTTTGTACAACATTGTGTTGACTCATATGGGTCACATATAATTTGTAAGATATGTGTTTGTATTCCTTTGGAAGTGAAGTGTCCAAGTGTCAAGTTATTTGCTAGCCTCCGCTCACAAAAACTAGAACTGCCATGGTGTGAATACCCCCGCTAACACTTTGTCAGGCTCAACAGTGGTCATTTAGAGCTCAAGGTCAACCTCCAAGCCAAATCTGAGTGAAGTAAGCCAGCTCATTTTTAAGTTATGTCTTCTACATGTTTTAAGTGGCAAAGATCAAAGTGACCTTAACCTTTGACCTACTGACCTCAAAACTGAAACTGCCACTGAATGACTTCAATACCCCCATCCCCATTCATGCAGCTTTGTCTGGATGTGTTTTATGATGAATATATGAGAACATAATTATATGCTTCAAATGTGAAAATGTAAAACTCAATACACTGTGGACAGGCATTTATAAGCAGAAAAGCTTATTGTAAAAAAAAACCTGTGACCTTGACCTTTGACATAGTCACCTAAAAATCAAAAGGGGTCATCTAATAGTAATAACCAACCTCAATACTAAATTTTGAAGAATGTTGACCAAAGCATTCTTATGCAATTGAGTGGAAAAGCTCTTTGAACTAAAGGCCCCTGTGACCTTGACTTTTAACCCAGTGACCTCAAAATCAATAGGGGTCATCTACTAATCATGACTTACCTTCATGCCAAATATGAAGACTGTGGGTCAAGGGATTCTTAGGTAATTGGGCGTACAATCTTTTATTAGTCAAGACCCCTGTGACAATGACCTTTGACGATAAAATAAATAAGGATCATCTACTAATCATGACCAACCTCCATGCTAAATATGAAGACTGTAGGTCAAAGGATTTTTAAGTAATTGGTCGGACAATATTTTTTTTAGTCAAGGCCCCTGTGACCTTGACCTTTGACCTGGTGACCTCAAAATCAATACGGGTCATCTACTAATCATGACTAACGTCCATGCTAAATATAAAGACTGTGGGTCAAAGGAATCTTAAGTTATTGGGCGGACAAGCTTTTTGAAGTCAAGGCCCCTGAGACCTTGAGCTTTGACCTGGTGGCTTCAAAATCAATACAGGTCATCTACTAATCAGAACTAACCTCCATGCCAAATATGAAGAATGTGGGTCAAAGGAATCTTTAGTTATTTGGCGGACAATCATTTTGAAGTCAAGACCCCTGTGACCTTGACCTTTAACTTGGTGACCTCAAAATCAATAGCGGTCATCTACTAATCATGACTAACCTCCATGCCAAATATGAAGAATGTGGGTCAAAGGAATCTTAAGTTATTTGGCGGACAAGAAAAAACCGACGGACAGCCGGACGGCCGTAAAGCCGGACAGCCGGACGGACAAGCTGATTACAGTATACCCCCCTTACAACTTTGTTGTGCGGGGGTATAATAATATAAAAAAGAACAAAAAACGTTTTATAAACAATACTGTCAGTACATGAATTGACTAGATTTGTTTTGATCTAAATACTGTCCTTTTGTTCTTTGTAAGAATGAAAGTAGCTACCTAGAATGACACATTCTCGTCTAATATAGTATAAATTTTAGTAATTATTTAAGTAAACTTTCATAACCGTGTATCATTCCTTACATCAGAATTAGGCAAAACTGTTTCTCGCAAATTTTGCTAAAAGCAGCTCGAGTTGATGGGTGTCTAGTCAAATCCAAAATGAGGGAAGTCCATATTTTGTATTCAAGACGGATTTTGATACAGAAAATGCGTTTTGGGCTTGATGGTAAATATCAACATCGTTCGCAAATGTCAACAAATACGCTACAATTTATCGCAAATTTAAGAAAACGTTTTCAATTTGCAGAAAAAAGTAAATACTGCTCTAAAACCAGCCAGATGTATTCAGCTTCACAAAATTGTTTAGTTTGGATAAATCAATTTATTTATGTTGGAGAAATAAGTTGAAACATTACTTCGGGTGAACTCAACGTACACCTTTTTACATTCGTTTTCCGTGTTTGAAGGGCTATTTCCGGTGACCGCTGTACAACAGTGATATTTTTCAAAAATGTTTCAAACATTTTGTTCCGGTTTAAACGGACTCGAGTTATTATCGCAAAACTCTTCTAATTATTCAACAACTACAGTAATGTTAACGTATATTCAAAAAATCAGTAAAAGTGTTATTTTCCTTAATGTTAATGTCATGACAACAGTATTGTTTTGCATATCATAAAGGATTATCTACTGTTTACACCGGTGCTAGGAAAACCTGTCGTAAATCCATATGTTCGACAAGTTGCATGCTTTAAATGGCGTCTTTCCAAGGCGCTTTTATGAACTGCGTTATTCCTTGCCATTATGAATACAGTTTTTGATTCATACGCTGTCGTAAGTTCGTAACAGACGGGAATGTCTAGCTCTCGGGTAACTGCAGTCTGCATAGCCTCGTTACCGCCGTTAACAATTACCCTCGAGCCATAATATTCCAGTCTGTACCGGAAGGCGATGTTATATCCTTATTGTACATAGTTACCATGGTGTCCATATTTTGTTTTCCCTTCTTTCAATAAAAAGCTTGCCGGTAAAAGGATATAACGTCCAGGCGAGCCACACTTCTTTCTCTTGCGTTTGGTATGAGGCGCTTTAACTTTTCCATCATCGACAGTGATGTAAGAATCTAACTCGGACAGCGCGGGTATTTCCTCATATTCTGGTTTCGAGCTCCATGTATTGGGTATTATAATGTTAATTTGTCCAAAAGACACTTGGTACCGTGTCGCTTCGAAAAGGAGCTGAGATGCGTTGGTGAAAATTTGCTGAAGTTATACATAATAAAACGAGTTCCTCGGCGTCATTGTTTACAATGAATAAAACATTTTAAATAAATTATTATTGAAATTATTTGAAATAATCCAAAGATGAGTATTAAAGCTTTGCTAGTACTATGAGAAAATTTTTAGAGATTCTTGTACAACTTGACTATTTCCGCTATCAAAACAGACACTATATTATTACATCAAATAATTTATGCACAGCATAAAAAATACTTAACAGTCATTATACGTCAATACCAATTTTAAAAATTACTTCTGCTCTAATTGTGGTTCAATATATTTTTATCGATACGCTTTTGCTATAGCATGTTATAACGGAAATAGATATTCATTTTTCTTGCATTTTTCTATATCTTCGGTTAATCTTCAAATGCTTTGTGGTTAATTACATTCCTGCATCGTGCATTATACTATAAAAATGCAGTGGAAATAAATTTATTTCTTTATTGAAAATTACAAAACAGAAATTATCTAATCTGTTCGTGATCTTAGAATCAATTAATCAGCGAAAAATAAATTTGGGGTGACGGACTTTGCCGTCGATTGTGTTACTTTTATCATTTCGGGGGGGGGGTGTACATCGGCTTATTATGAGTATACGCCGAGTGCAGGCCTTTGGTTGAAGGGTCACCAGAGAATTATAAATCAAATATAGCTCTGTGCTATAACTAGGGATTTAGGGGATATCTAAGCTATAGTACTACTATTGTCTTTATCTATATTAATGAAAATAACATCAAGCAGTTGTATTGAATGTAAAAGAAATTGCACGAAGACTAACGTGTACAATGTTTTAAATAGTTCAAAAGTTATTTACAATTGGAGAAACAAAACATAGCCAGGTGTCTCTATTGTAATAAAGATGGGTTTTATTTCCTTATCATACAAGTTTTCCTTGTTATTTTTCTTTTGTTTCATCATAACATAAGATATAATCAAGGAAAATATATTTTGAAATGATCTGTATGATATTAATAGAAACACAATTGCTTAAATGTTTAAGTGTAACGAAAAGTTATCATATTCACAGGTAAAATGTAGTATCGCACGATCATTTAGGTCCCTGAATTGTTTTTAATGCGTAGTATGTCAGTCTTGAAGACAAAAAATATATTGTCTTTAAAGGTTTTTCTTCTCAACTCTACTCTTTCAAATTCCATTCGAAATATTTAAGTTATTTCATTACGAAGTTAAATGTCTCCCGCACATAAAAGGATGTTTGTATAAAAAGACTCGCCAACTCGTTATCTAAGAAGGTTAAAATAAAAAAATTGGGACATGACGTGTCTTTTATGGCTATACATTGTTCTTATTGTATATTAGTCTATTTTACTCCGTGTTTTTGTGGAAAGGCCGAATATTTTGTTTTCCGAGTTTAAAAGTATTATCCTTCGCAAAAGGTGAGCTAAACTAAAACTTTAAAGATAATTCAAATCATACCGCCTTAAAGGCAATGATTTCTCGGAATCGAGACAGACACCACAATAGAACAATTCTCTCTAAAATGGCTTCCTGTTGATATACCCGAGCAGTGTATTTTTTTTTAATTTGCTCATATGTGCTTACTCCCTTTACTCATTATTGATTGTGTAAAGATAGGTAACGCATATTCGAATTAGGTAACATTCTAAGCATACCTTTAGAAGCAATGAGGAGCTAAGAAGATGCTGATCGATGCACATCCAAATTATTGATTTCATTTTTGAAATTATATATTTTTTTCCGAAACTCTTTTCTTTTTATACGCCTGTGCGTATTGGAGTATCGATAGTTACACCATTGCACGGTAAGTTGAAGTGCAAGTAGATCTAATTTATACATAGGTCTGACAAACCTTATATTTGCTATTGGGTTATATCCTTGACCAAATGCTAAATGTCATGGAATAACACTAAACGCGCGCGTACCATAGTTCAAGTAGAAGAAGAAACATAAACAATACATTACCAAATTTTGTTTTTTTGAAAAATCACTTAAAAGAATGTCACCTACATGAAAACAAGACGGCCTTATTCTTTTCGCGTAAAAAAAATTCTTTTGTCATATTTTAAGGCCATTTAACTTTTCAATGTTCTTTTAAATTTTTCTTTTAATTCCGCTAAATTTCAGTTATTTATGAGAATATGGATGTAAATTATAAGTTTTAAGAACAAGTATTTAGGAACAAATTTATAGGCATGAAGAGGCGTATGCTTATCTTTCATAAAGTTGAAATGGTAGCCTATCTTATATAATCAGCTACCGACGTAGTACAGGTTTTTCTCCTTTCTTTTTAAGTTCTCCTTCAGTTTCAAAAGTGGTATTGTTAAAGGCAAATTTTCCGTCCACAAGGTTTGATTTATCTATTAAGTAATTTACTTTTAATTCGAGGTTTTACTTTCCTTTTTATCTAACAACATTTACATTTATATAAAACTAATACTCGTAGTAACATATTATTATTACTTTTTCTTTTTATCTAACATTATTTACATTTATTTAAAACTAATACTTATATTAACATATTATTACCTTAATTCGTTCAATTAGAACCTCGTTCTCGGCAACAGTGTTCTGGATAACAATATTAACATTCCTGTATTTACCATCAAGAAGATTAATTCCGCCAACACCGTATAAATTTGAAACTAAGCAAACGACAATTCCGGCAATATTCCACATATCTAAATTTTAATCATTCATTTCTCTATAAAAAATCAATATTCTTTTTCTGAAAGATATTTTAAACACATCTCATGCTCAAGCTAGAATACAAATAAAGGCGTTTTTCTTTGTCAAACTGCGTCATTTTATCGCGCACGCAATCTATGCGTGAAATTGAAGGACAGGTAGTTGTTTTACATTTTTTCATACCTCAAATTTAATTATCACTTGACTAGTGTATCAGATTTAAGAAATTTGTTCCAATCACTTTCCAGTATAATGCATCTATTTGTCGACTAAAAATGGATGACTTTGGTTGTGCTCTACAATCGTAATTCCTAAAATAGTCTAAAACATAATATTTTAAAATATAAAAAATTTGCCGATTAAAATATGGTGATATGTATAATGATATTTGTTATAATTCAAATATGTTAATCATTCAATATCTCGGTCATAAGTAGGAAAAGGTAAGATTAAATTGAAATTACCAAATACAGAAAATATGTTTTAAAAAATCATTGAATTATTCATCAAATTAATATCTCTAAGAAGATAAAAAATGTTATTGTTTGAAATCATTGTATCGTTTCAAGAAAGCGTGTTAGGCTTTATGACAACTATAGTGCTAGAAATCTGAAATACATAATTATACCTCTTGAGAGAAAATAATGCTGAAGAAAAGTGATAACCCTCAGATTCGGTTCGAATCATTTAGCTTAACAGATGAATGCAACGTAGACCAGACTACAAAGCACCATCTAAGTCATCCGAATCGAAAACCACTGGACCATTACCATAGATTTGTCATTATAATCGGTTACATTTTTATTGAAATCTCCCAAGTCATTTTTCGAAATATCTAAATTGATCTGCAGGTCTAAAGTGCATTGTTGTCTTATTGATAATTGATCGTATACATACATATACATGCACAGTGCGTTAACTAGTGTGTAGGTATTAGTTACCCGTACTCAAAGCATGCACGATGATTGGCTCATTTTGCTGGGGTTTGTTTATTGTTACGGCAGAAAAAGGGAAAGCGACAGAAAAATCATATTCAGATGCTCGTTCATTGGTTACTTTTTTCTGGGGTTTCATATTGTGACAACAGTGAACGTGTTGTTATGTTTTACTATGATACAAAAGAGAAAGAACATCAAAACACTCGGCAATCTGATAAATACTCGCTATGCTCCCTCGTACAAATCAGATAGCCTCGTGTTTCGATGCTCTTTCTATAACTTAATCAATTTTATGCCAATACCAAAAGTGTTTCCACTTACTTCAAGGCAATATTACAGTTCGTGATTAAGTTATTCCTCAATTATTGCGAATAAAAAAGAATTAAACAGTTTGGTGCAATTAGATTGCACGAAGTACTAACAGTATAAAAGGTACTTTTCATTTACTAGTATTAATCAATGCCATGACATGAAGACAAAAGAATGATTATTTATGCAAACTAAAAAATACATTTGGCATTTTGAGCTGAATTAATGTTTTCTGCTATAAATATATCGTCTCATATCGTTTGCAAATTTCGCAAAAAGAACATATTGTATCTTATTCATTGCATATTTAGAGTTCTGAAAATTAGTTGCGGTTACATTTAGACAAAATGACAATTTGCTTTTTTGGTGTATCTGAATTAAACCTGAGTTAGAGTCAGGGTAAATTTACCTTTTTAGCTTTTTCCAGAACACGTTTCTTTCAACTAATCCAGTGAAAAACACAGGGATTTGCCACAGTGTTGGGATACAGAAGTCTAAAAAGTTTTTCTTGAAAAAATATATATTATATAATGTAGCAGATGATGAAAAGAAGCAGCAAAACAACCGTGATATCTAAGTGTTTGAGTATATCAATGGACACGCCCACCAAAATGTAAACAGTAAAGGGTCAAAGGGAGACAACCAAAAAAACGTGCAAAATAGAGAAAAAACATGTACCAGTGCAAATGTGAAAAATAATAGCTTACCCATCATGCTGTCAAATAGTGAATCTAGAAGTGAAGAATCCTCAACCAGAAAACAAAATATATCCAGAAATAAATCAAATCAAAAGAAATCACACGCGCCAAATATACATGTTGATGTAAATAGTGTTAAAAATAACGTGAATATTGAGGTAACAAGAAATGGTAGGTCATAAATGAAATAACAAATGAATCAACTTACGCGAATATCGAAAAACCAGCGGATACAAATAGAAATGTCAACACGATGTTTCGTCAGCCAATGAGAAAGAGGGTCACGTCAGAAAGTAGGACAGCGTATGGTCAAACGTACAGGGGTTGAGAGGAAAAAGCTACGATAAATTAAACTCCCCTGTAATGATTAATCTTTTTTTCCGGAAAATGAAATTTATTGTTTACAGGGACTTGGTCAAGTGACATTTTCATTTGGCAGATTTAATGCTTGATTATTATGAATCTGATGAAATATTACCTAGAAAGAGTCAAGATAAAAAAAACAAATGAGTACTAGTGCAGAAAGTTATTATTAAATTTTTGTAAATCTACCGGACTAAGAGTAATAATTAGTAGATGTGGTGTAGATAAAAACATTGGTTAATGTACATGTGTGAATATTCAAGGTAATAGTGTAATTAAATATGTTTTATGTGAAAGTAGTTTTTTTAAGTACATACATAGGTATGAAGTAAAAGATCTAAATAATTTATCTGATCATTGTGTTGTTGAATTAAGCTTAAACATGTAATATGAAAAGAAATATAAATACTATTCATACAGTAGATGATAATCAAAGCACAGAAGGCGCTGAATTTGTTTGGGTCTCAGAATGTCTGAAAGGTGAAAGTTGTGAGATTATAAACCAATTTGTTTTTCTATAGTTCCACCAATGCTTTCCAGTGTTTAACTGTAGTAAATTGGCTATAAGACTAATTGCAAAACTGATAGTCAATTCAAAATTTATTTGATTTAATTTTTTTTTAATGAGTTGCCTCAACTCGAGACCACTCGATTCATAAGCGAGCGTGCAAATTCCTCGGCCACGGTGAAATTATAAGTTTACGACCTGAAGAAAACCATATTATTCTAAATTAGGGTTTATAACACTTATTATTTCGTCGCTTAACACAGATGTAAATAATCATGGAGCTTACTGTAAGCATGTATATCTATAAAGAATGAAACAATATTAGTAATCTTCGACCATTCGGGAACTACTTTGCTTGAAAATTAATGTGCCTGTCATTTGACAATCTTTACGCATTGATCTCCCCTGAAATTTCGGCGTTAGCGTACATATAAAGGGAAGTAGCCGCTTCAAAAAAAGTGGACTACTTTAGGCATTTGCAATTAACAGCATTAGGCTCTAAAATTTCGCTACCATTATTTGTTTGGTCTGACGACCCAAACAAATATGAAAAAGGTGTTCCTTTTATGTATAAATGGGACAACAGTAAGAAAGAAGAATATATTAATATCATGTCAAGTAGTTATGTTGAAGAAAATCTAAAAACTATTTCCCAAGATATTACAATTGCGGAAAAAAGTTTGGATATAAATGATAATTTGAAAAAATCTTTGTTATGTTTAAGATGATATTTGCGTCCCTTTGTTTAAGAAGGGAATAAATTCAAACCAAAAAAAACCTATTCATGTAAATGTAAATGTGCCTTATTTTGATGGAGAGTGTAAAATCTGAAACAAAATTATTAAAGGTTTAAACATGTTCAAAAATTTTCATGTGATGAAAACAGGGTATCTATGGTAAAGGCCAGGAGTGAAAATAAAAAAATACTGTTAGAAAAATAAATTTCTTTATGACAAAGAATAGACTAAAAACTTCAAAATGAACGAATTTTAAATGCTAACGCGTACTGGAAGATACTCAGAGGTACTGTTGTAAATAAATCTAATAATTGTTGTTTGTCATCGAATGAATTTCAACGTTATTTTAAAGCTTTAAATGATCCTGATTCAGTCTTTTATCAACCAGTTTAAGATGTTTTATATTTTAATAATAGGTACTTGGATGGTGAATTAAATAGTATGTTTTCCTCAGTTAAATATACCATTTAGTAACCCGGAAATAATAAAAACTTGTAAAAACTTAAACTCTGGGAAATCAGCAGGTTCTGACTACTTATTAAATGATTTTTTTTAAATTGGGTTCTTGTTCAACTCATTTTGTTAGTATTCTTAATAATCTTTTTAATATAAAATTTGACTTAGGTTACTTTCCGGTACAATGAACCGACGGCTTTATAGTCCCGCTTGACAAAAAACGGTGACATTAGTGACCCAGGTAATTATAGAGGAATAACTTTACTAAGTTCGTTTGGTAAATTTTTACACAAATTTTAAATGATAGAATAAATACTTTGGCAGAAAAATATCACGTCTATATTGAAGCTCAATCCGGTTTTAGACAACAAATGGGAACTGTAGATAACATTTTTGTTTTGCATGGCCTTATTACGTTTCTGTTGAATAACAATAAAAATTCACATGCTTCGTTTGTTGGTTTTTAGTAACTTAGTAACTTAGTGACATAGTATCTCGTGGCCACGACTTAGCTATCTCGTAGCCACGACATAGTAACTCGTGGCCACGACATAGTATCTTGTGGCCCCGACATAGTATCTCGTTGCCACGACATAGTACCTCGTGGCCACGACTTAGCTATCTCGTAGCCACGACTTAGTAACTCGTGGCCACGAAATAGTATCTCGTTGCCACGACTTAGCTACCTCGTGGCCACGACATAGTATCTCGTGGCCACGAGATAAATAAAAACACACACATGTCACCTTTGTGCCACCGTAATTATAATGAAACATTGTGCTATGATTTGTGTCTATCAAGAAATAGTTTGTTACCTAAAAATGATATTCTGACAAGTCTCAAATTTTATCCGCCCATCGTACAAAAACGGCAAAAAGGAAGTAAAAATAATCATTTAGTGTCTCATTTAAACATAATTTTGATACATAATACCTTAAAAGTTTATTTAAATGAATTTATTTTAATAAAACTACTTTTTCATCCAAAATATATTGTTCAAAGGCCGAAGGTTACTTATTACATGCTTTAAAACCTTAAACGCAAAGGGTGTCACCACGAAATTATATTATTCCAATTGAAAATTTTAACAAGGCATTTCTATGTGTAATTGTATTTTTCGTCACGAAGTATAAATCAAATTAAAAAAATCACGTACCAAACCATAATATATGTAATTACCTTGCTTTTCAATCTCAATATCTGTCCTTCAAATTACATAGGTATGAACTGAGATTTATAACTGTGTTACAAGTTCACAACAGCCTAAATTATCGAAAGGCAAATATTATATTTGATATAAAGCATTATTTGGCTGTCTGCCAGTGATCGTTGGAATAGATATTTTTATCTTGTTGAAGTTCATACGAAATACATAAAATATAGAAATATCTTTGTATAATCACTGAATATGTTGATTAAAATAGTTCGAACTTTATTGTTCTGTTTCAATATGTTATTAAATCCAAGTACGATTATGAACAGAGACTCGTTGTGCTCTCCAAATAGATAAACATAAGAATAAAAACCAACAACGTGATTGTAGAGAAGTTTTAATTATAAAGTTGTGAGCCAGTATTCGGTTTAAACTTTTAAAACAGTATATTATCGAAACGATTTTTACAACTGTCGGTTTTATAAAAAGAATATTTCAGTGAGAAAAGCATTTATGTATAATTGACCGTTCAATGTATATCTAAACGCTTTACAAAAAAGAAGAATAGGATTGGAAATAAATGTTTGTCTGCATTTAAGTAAAGAAACAATAATAAAATGGGAAATAAATCGCATTATACCACGTTTCACATAGCTTTCTTAAAATGCACACTTGATATAGTCCTTTTAGTAAAATTTTGATATTTCTTAACATGAATGGATTATATAAAAGAGAATGTAATGTTTTGGAACAAGATATTCAACTGTTATATTTAATAGTGTAGGCTACGTTATGCATTATTACGCCGCATATAGCTCTTGACAAACATAGATCTCCGGGGACATTTATTCGTCCCCACCTTACTACTATTGCCACGAAAGAAGCCCCAAACATACGGAAGCTGTGTGCGGCAAGATGCACCATATGGACGGATAAACCTACACACATAATTATATGTACATAGCTTCTCATTATCAGTATATTATCATCGTCATCGTCATCATTTTAATTATGATTATGGACGCGATGATGTTATGATAATGATGAACTTGATGATGATTTGAAAGATGATGATAATGATGATGATGATTAAGGTGATCGTGGGTTTAATAATGGCGAAGTTATTATGATGATGTATATTTTGATGGTGATGATGATTGAGTTGATAATGCTTTTGTTGATAAAGGAAAAACGTGGTGGTACGGTCCAGTTCAGTTGATAGATGATAAATAAAATATAAATAAATAACTAGATAATAAACAGCAGAATATGGTCCATTAGTTTGTAAAAGTAATTAAAAGGCATATCATTCCTTGATAGGAAACAAATATTTCAAGTATGAAGTGAATTATTGTGATGATTAATTGTTTATAATATTTCGATTGCTACAGTGAATAAGTATTCAATTTTTTAAGTTAGGATTAAATGGGTTTGAAGATAATAGTATATTACTTTCTAAAGGATTAACCTGAACAAAACGGTAAACCAACGCTAATGCCCCAAAAGATACATGACAATAGCTGCATTTTTCTTCGAAGATGGATCTAATAAACATTTTATCACACATATCTTACCAACCAGTCTTTGCAATATCTAAGTTAGCAATAAGGCAAACAATTTCTACACACCTATTTTAACTTCTAACGGAAATGGTAATTGATAATTCTATATAATGCATTCAATCAATTATATTTGTATTTTTGTACTACATCTTATAATGCTATGTTACAGTTGTACTTTTTGAGTAAAAAATGTGAAGGAAAAAAAAAATTCTTTGGCCATGATATGTATAATAGAAATCTTACGTGACAATTTGAATTGGTTCACTCTCTGAATCATGATGTTCACTAGAAAGTACAATGTATTCTCTAAAGCACATGTCACAATAAGACAGTAAGACGAGCTTTATTTAAAGTCGGTTCTGGTTAACAGTACAAAACATAAGCCGATATGAACAAAAGAATAAAAACAAGAAACAATGTAGAAACTTCTGTAGCGCCCTCAGCTTATTGTAGTATAATCTTAGTACAGGGTACTATGTCATTATGCTAGAAAATTTCCAAAAGACCAAGGAAAAACGAACCTATTTCTATATTTTAACTAAATGAAGTCTCTTCCCTTCGCAAGTGCTTCGTGCATGACAAACATCAAATTACAATCAGAATATTCTATTTAGTTTGAGGAATGTTTTCACGTATGTGACATAATGCACAACGAATATTTCAGCTGAAGATTTGTATCAATTAATAGGAAAAGTTTTGTCTGCTTTATTCTAAATTTCATTCTTAAACACACCACATCAACTGTCATCAACTGTAAAGGAAACATGAAAGTTTTCCGACCTATTTTCGTTTCATTTCGTTTCGAATAAATCATGAATTTGTTCCCTTGTTAGAATATGCATTTATGCGTATATTGCCCCGCTTTGACTCACTCTCTACTATCAAAAAGACACATATTAAAACAAAGAAATAATGGCATCAACATAAACAGATGGTTGAAATGTCAAAAACGCTGTGCTTATATGAAGAAATAACCAATTTAGAAACGCGGTAAAATTGACATCTGACGTATACAATATTCAAAGATTTCAAAGATAATCTTTGTTTTAGACTCAATCAAACCATATAAAAAATGATAATATAAACAAAAAATACTTTATTTTTTATTTCAAATAAAAAAAAAGCATGCAAGTTTACAGAATACGTATAATTTTTATTATTTACCACACAATATTTAGCATGAATTCATTCGAATTTTGATACCATTGGTACATACAACAAAGACATTGTTTTTTATTCCAAATAAAAAAAATACATGCAAGTTTACATAATACGTATAATTTTTATTATTTACAACAAATGTTTAACATGAATTCATTCGAATTTTAATACCATTGGTATGTTTAAATGGCTGTACAGTACAATTGTGATAGAAATAATTAGATTTTACAGTTTCGGAGTGGAAAACATTTAATTGAAGCCAAAAAATAAAGGTTTGATATTACATCTGGACATATGATTTTAATCTTATCAAGTCTCACTGCATCTTTATAATTAAAAACTGTGTAAATCAAAAATATTTGTGGCCAGAACACATCACCCATTTGACCTTTATTATAAACCTTCAGGTTTCTTCGAAAATGTCACATAACTAGAGCCTGATTTTAAGTAAAGCAGTTGACTTCTTCTCTTGTGTAGGATGTTGTTCCAAAACCTTAAGTCGAAGAACATATTTTGAAATTCAATGTGAATTTTTACATTTTGGGGTAAGCGAAACACACTTTCAAGTAAACGGTCCCAAGAATCTGCACACATATGAATATCTTCAAGCGTTATTTCTCTAAGATTGAGCATTTTCATTGGATCTACAATTATAATGTTTTCACTGAAATAAAAATTTTTTAAATGTAGCTGCTTTAAATCAATCAAATTTGGAAGCAAATTCTGAATAATTTTTGTCATTTTCTCTTTGTCTAGGTAAACCCAGTCTCCAGTCAAATTTAGACATTTTAGCTTTTTGGATTGTTTTAATACAGTTGCTACACTTTTTGTAATGAAGTTACTTCTTAAGTTAAAAGAACATGTTTCAAGATTGTGAACGCAAAACCTGGTCATTTCTATTGCATGAAAGTCATGATCTAAAACTTTTAGTTCACGATGCTGGGATAAATCAATACAAGGATAGTTTTCATACATCAAAGTTTTATCTGGATAATCCGATATCTTACGCAAGGATATTTGGCGTAAGTATTTAGCATTGCTTAGCCACTTACTTAGATTCATTATTTCACTAAATGTTAGTCCAATGTTCTCAAGTTTAATTGTTTCAAGTTTGTCCATAATTGGTAGAGTCGATATTAATAGTTTAATGTTAAAATGCCTTGTAGGTGAAAGAAACCTCGGATTAACTCGCTCTCCTGAGAATGATAGGCATTTCAATAAACAACTGCTTTTCTTTGTTATATCAAGCAAAGTTGTATTAAGTTGTGAATCATCTATGTTAGATATCCGTAATTTCAATGTTGACATTTTTGGACCGAGAAATGGATCTTTAAGGAACTCGGAAAGTACTGGGGGCAAAGGGGTGCCCAAAATATCAATATTCAAAGATAAAGTAAAGGCGGGGTTGACGTATTTTATCGGTTCAACATCATGAGTATACCTAGGAAAGTACACAATATCTGAAAGAAAAAACAACCTTCCAGGCTTTTCTTCGTGTATATTTGCTTCTTTTATGAAAGAAAACAAAAGATTTTGTATGTCTAATGGGTATGTCTGGTGACCTTCGAAGCATTCGAATGTTAGGGAAATTGACCAGATACCGAGTTTAAAAGGTATGTAAGAAAGATTTGTTCGATAATGGATAAAAACTTCGTCTTTATCAACAATGTTGTACACAAATTTCGAAATATGCGCAGCAAGATATGTGTCAAAGCCGCATAGGAACGTAAAAACATTTGATAGTTCTAAGATGTCGTTTGCCGTTTTACAGTTCTCAAAATATTTTTTGAAACATGTTATTTTTTTGTCTATTGTTGACAAAAGAAAAGGTTTAAAAAGGTGTGGAGCACTTCGTTTTAATTCAATGAATATATACAAAGCACATAAAAACTCTTGCATGGACTTGTGAACAAAGGAGAAAGATAAATACTGCCGCCTACTTAAACTAAGACCGACTGCACGTTGTTTCGAAATAATGCCACACTTAAGACTGTAAGCAATGATTTCATTATGAATATTAAGGTTTTTAAATGTCGAATCGTCAAATATAAGTGAAGATTCTTTTCTTGTCGTGAGCAGAGTTGCATATGCCAAATGGGCAATGTTTTTTATAACAAATTTCAGTTCTTGACCTAGTTCCTGATAATTCAATTGATCTGGTATATCAAAAATGTCTATATTCGATGATTTATCTCTTAAACCTCTTAAAACCTCCTCATTACCACTGCGAAGCTCTGTCCATTCAAAAAACATACCCAACATTTTACTGTATATATCACTTTTTCCAATGAAACTTATTTTATCGTCAAACCAGAGACAAATCAACTGTTGCAGTATTATTGGTACAGACTTCATTTCATCGTCTATTCTAGACTTTGCTAAGTAGTTCTGAAAGTCAGATGTATTTTTCTTAGTATGAAACATTTCGTTTAATGCACTTACTATTTTCTCTGTCATTGCTTTCTGATTGTCAACTCCACATAGTTGAAGTTTTATTTGAATTTCAGTATTTTTCAAACCAATACTTTCAAACTTCCATGGTCTTGAAGTTGTTATGATAGTATAACCTTTGTTCAGATTACGTCGAGGAAGACCTTTACTTTGAAACAAAGAAGTTTTTGGTTCTGTCTTGGGTATCCATTCGTCAAGTCCATCCAGCAGGATAAGACAGCCTTCTGGCTCCTGTTCAAAGATTGTTTTGATAACTGGGTCATCATAATGAGAGAGTATCATATCCTCAACATGATCGATAGTATCCTCGTGACGCAGTGGTAAGTAAAATAAGAACTGGTATTGTTTCATTTCTTGTATATTACTTGTGTCCTCTGCTTCATTATCAGAATGTGCTATGCACCAATTATTTATCATATTTATGCAGAATGTACTTTTCCCGGACCCTGCCTCTCCGATCAGATAAATTGATTTCTGCTGCTTGCCGTCCTTTCTTAATAGTTGCTGATATGATTGAATGCGTTCAGATTTTTCGTTTTCATCTTTAGGAAGTATTTTTATCAATGGATCAATATAAACTTGATTAATACGCACATCACAGCGTTCTGGCTGGAGAAGGATTGGTGAAATGTTTACAACATTTTCAACATACATTTCTATCAAGCGTCTTCTGAAAGCTAGTTAAAAGAAAAAACAATGTAATTAAATGGCAGGTGATTATTGCTTTACCATTTTAGATATTTGAACAAAATACAAGTACCTTGCATGATGCGGGATCTCAATTTGTATTATTTCGAATATCTTTGGAATTTATTCATAATGATCAATATGTATAAAGAAATTACAGTAGTGATTGATGGCATTGTAAAGGTATTTTCATGAAAAAATAACTAAAATTATGAATACTTTAAAAAATAGAACTGTGTACAATGTGAATATATTTGTTCTTACATAAGCTTAAATGTTTTAAGAGGAGATAAATTTGCTTACCCTCTTTACTTTTCACGTAAGTTACTTTGCTATGTTGAAGTACTTCAACAATTTTCTTCTTTGCGTTGGTAACTTGCTACAAGAGAATAATATCACGTTATCTTTTAAGTCATAAACATTTACTCATTTGTTTTGTTTTTATCTCCAAATACTGTATTCAATGTGAATTTTAACAAACGATTGTATCACTTAAACTGAATGTTTTCAAAATAATATAATTATCAACGTTAAGATAAAACATCATAATGTCAAACAAAATAGTACCTCTTCCATTTCAACAATTCGTTGTGATGTTGATGTAACCTCTGTCTCCAAATTTTTTGAAACTGTTTCTGCAGTTTCTGTTATACGCTCCATTGCAGATTTCTTGGCATTATCTATTTCCTCGCATGATTCAAACTGCGCTAATCTTATGGATGTTTTACAGTCCTCTGTTTTAGCATCTGTTTCTGCTTTAATCTGATCTCTAGCTTTTTCTGTGTTGAGTTCTATGTCATTTATAACTTCATTTCCAGTTTTCTCGATCAAATCCAAATTTTGCTTTGCTTTTAGATTTAAATCCTCACCGGCGGACTTGAGTAATTGTACAGTATCTGTTTTCGAAAGCAATATTTCATTAGTTGCAGCTTCCACAGTTTCTTTTAGATTAGTTTCCTTCAAATCAATTACGGCCATAGATTCCCGTACAATCTCGGCTTCGTTCAGATTAGATATAACAAAACGTGAATTCTTCAGCTGAAAGATGAGATAAATTACTAATAAAAAGTATTTAACCAAAATGAAAATTGTATCTCAGCCAAATATTTTTATATACTAGTAAATTTTTTAAATAATTCAGTCTATTAAACACTGAAATTTATCAAGTTCTTTCGTTTAGATGGTCAACGATTAAACACTCTGTTTTAACCCTTTTTATGAGATTCGTGTTTAATTATTTATAAAACACAATGTTGATAGTCTAGGAACATCTATCTAATATCTAATGGGCTTATGTTATTGCTGATGGAAAATTATAAAGTATATTATTGGTTAATCAAATCGTGACATAAGCATCAGGGTTCAAATAAATTTAGACAAAAGATGCCCGCATTCGATTTCTTTTGTCAAACTAAATTCAAACTAATTAAATGTTAATACCTCATTAAGCATTGCAACTGCAGCTATAGATTCTGGTCTGTTTAAAAGCTCTTTTCCATCTTCAAGAACAGCAATCATGTCATCTATATACTGAATGAATTCAATATCGTCCATTTCCATAGACGTCGAATGGAAAATAGCATTCCTTGCTGATCGGGTCTGAAAAGCATTGACTTACGATTATATTTTAGGTAATGGGTATTGATAAATAAATCGTAAAGAAACTGTTAATGATATACATATACCTGCTATTTGGGAAATGGAACGAAATTATGAGTTTGTCATTATACAATATTACAAGGCATGAAGCATCATAAGGGTTAATCTAAAAAAGACAAATCTAAAATTGTTGCACATGGTCGTTTGCATTGTTTATTTTTTGCATTTGCAAATAACATTGTGCCAGAAAAAAATCATGTTAAAGGCTATATAATATATACTCGTATGTACTAAATTTTAGAAGCATGATCACACATATGAGAAAATTGTTATACTTATGTGCCTTATAAAATTCATTACGTCATCAAATTAAATAATGATAAAGGCATGCATATATATTTGACATTATAAAGAATTATACTGTTTTTGTGTAAGACTTCAATGTACAGAAACGACATGTTTATTTCTTAGCATGATTGTTTAGTTAGTATGTTTCTGAGTACCACACACAAACGATGATCCGACTGACAAATTAATACTGCGAAATTAAGAAGCTAAAGTCCTACCAGTTAATGAATCAACGTTTCTTTGATAAACGATAATGCCAAACATAAATTGTTAAAATTTTTACAATATAACGAGTCATGCATTTCAAGTGTATTTTGAATGGTAAAGGGATGTTTTTAATCTAACTTCTATTAAAATATAGAGATAAAATTTTATGCATTACATTTCAATTTATTCATTTATTTATTTATTTAGCATATTTAACCTTTGTACTGACCTTTGAGAAAACATCATGACCTGTTATTTTACACACAATTTTTGTCTGTAGGAACTTGCTATTTATAAACAGATGAAGTAGCCCTGTACAGTCAATTTCAGATGCATTGGATTTAGATGCATAGCCCGGAGCATTTATGAAGCACTTCGCCACTTCCCACTCATCCGTGCACCATTTCTGTACGCAGGTATTTTTCCAGAACGGAGCTGGGGGATTTGAATCATGATTTAAAATAATCTGGTCATAAATTGCGCCACATACATTATTCGGGCATGCATATTTTCCACCCGGATATTGGCAGTTACAATCTTTGCAACCGAGAGGACACTGTTTATTTTTGTTTCTAACATGGTCCGGCTGAAGTGTCCTTAAGCTACATTGTCCACAATTGACTGTTGTTAAATTGTGCTTTCGCCTAACAGCATTTACAATATCACCGTGTTGTTGTTTTACCTTCTCATCTGAGAATATTTGCAGTCCATCCTTCAGATATTTTAGTCCCAAACCAGCTTTAACCCAGTTTCTATATTTGGGATTTTTCAATTGTTGCTGATGATGAAATTGCTCCGCCATTTGTAGCTGTATCTACATTCGTCAGTCTATTCAATACTGTTTGATTACTTGTGTCTTTTTACCTTCATGATTTCTCGATGCTTGACCCGATTAATGTTTTTGTTACATCAATGGTAGTATCTGAACCCTAAAATCAAAAGGGTTGAAATTCATAATGTTTACCTTCTTTATAAAACACTTAAAGATGCATAATAAGATTAATCTCAGTCAAATAACAGCAAAAAACGAAAGAAATGGAAGTTAGTTGTATCCAATGAAAGCGAATGATTGTTCTGTAACTTAGTGGTTGCAAAGGGAAGACAATCGGTAGTATGAAATTAACTGATTACGGAGGAAAGTCACAGGTTGCTTTGGAATTCACTTGTTGCTAACAAAATTCAATGTTTGCAATGGAAGTTAGTTTTTTTAAGGTAAGTCAATGGTTACTATGGTAGTCATTGGTTGCTATGTAAATTTAATAGTTTTCATGAAAGCATTGGTCATTATCGTAAGGCATTGGTTGCTAAGGATGTCAATGATTGCTAGAGAAAGTCAATGGTAGCTATAAAAATCAAATTTGTTATTGAAAGCCAATGGTTGTTATGTAAGTAACATTTCCTAGAGAAAGGAAACGCTATGAAAGTCAGTGGTTGTTCCTACAGATATTCATTATTTGCTATGGAATTCAAGGGTTGATTATTCAATTGTCCACTACACATTGTTTAATGCCAGACATCTAAGCGCTTCCGATTTGATTTGATACATATAGGGAAAATCCATGACCACAGGGCATGATCAACTTTAACCCAGGGGTTATTATGTGAACAACCTTGAAGGAGATCTTCTGCAGAATTGAAAGATGATGTTGCTTTCATAAAATCTAAGCTGTAGCCTATATAGTTTCAGAAGAGAATATTTTAGATATTTTACTGTATACATTCTTTTATATGGAAAACTCATGACATCCGGGGTAAGCTTTATTTTACCCAAAAGTTACTCTTTGAACAAACTTGGCTGAGGACCACTAAACAATGTTTCAAGCTCTAGCAGCTCGAGGAGATGGTTTTATATAATTATTTGGATAACCCCTAACCCCCCTTGACTTGACCAATTTTTACCCAGGGGTTATATTTTAGAAAACCTGGTATAGGCCCACTAGACGATGCCTGTTTCGTGTCCAATATCTAAGCGCGTGTGTGTTTTTTTAAAGAAGAATTTCAAATTTTTAAATATATTTTTTATTTCGGTTGCCATGGCAACGAGAGTTCAGCATTTGTTATATTTTAACAATTTGAAAGACAATTGCCGGAGGATTATACATATACAGCTTTGATATTTTTGAGGAAGTTTGTTTACGTGAATATCTTATTAAAATAAATATATACTGACAGACAGATTCTGGGAAACGGACGATGAGTCACATCCATAGTTCACCTTAAGCTCGTCGGTTTGTGCGAGCTATAGATGAAACATTAAAAAATTAGCGTAATAGTTTCTTGTTTTCAACATAATGTATAAATCAATAGGCTTAGTTTTCGTTCATAAAAATACAGTTCCTGGTGTTATTTGGTGTCAAAACATTTGTTATACTATTAGTATGTGTAGTCCCATTCATGTCTAAATGAGATAATAATTTTTTTAGTTTTGCCTTGCATCAACGAGCTTTTTTGGTATATATATATACACATGTATATTGTTGGTTACAATTATGTTGGGTATGTTAATTAGATGAAAAAAAGAATTATTTTTGGTTTTGATAGACGGTGGCGTGGATTTGTAAAGGCGATAAACTTAAAGGTGAATTCTATATTTGTGCGTTGGTGAAACCATTTAAGCATCGTTCAATCTGGTTTTGTTAAACTTGTTAAAGTTCTATCGTATTCAACTTCATTGCATCGTCGTGCATTATTATATCAAAAGTCTCGATTTTATAAACAGAACACCGTAGATAACGCATGACAAGTATGTACCGACCATTTAAAATATTAACTGAATTATAGAAAAAATCACAGCGACAATATCATGTTGCAATATCTTTTTGAAATACGCGTTTAAACATCTTTTTGCTAATAAACATTATAGCATTTTTACTGTAAGCTGACTTTGAAGACAAAATACCACTTTACTTTCAGAAAATCAAGCTTTCGTCTTGGCTAATTCTTTTGTACCTGCACGATTGATTATTAAGCTATAATTACAAATATTGGAAAAGATCAATTGAAATTTATTAGTGTGTTTATTAGCAAGTAGAAGTTCTATTTGAAAATTAATAATCGTGGTTTTTCAATAAAACAAAGACACTTTGAAGATAAAGGGAATACCATGCAAAAAAAGACACACAAATTGAAAACATGACATAGAATACCAAACAAGTGTCCAATATTATAGAATTTATCAAGCGAAGCTGTGCAGAATCCTTCATTTCTGATCAAATGTATGATATCAGACACTCGTTTTGTAATCTTTTGATCATCTTTTATATTTATGCCTTTCTTGCGAGGTTGATAAATTGCATAATATCAGACCCTTGTTTGGTTTCTATTTATCATGTTTTCAATGTATGCCTTTTTGTAATTTTAAGTCAATAACTGCTCTGGAGTTCATGTTGCGCGCAATAATGTTTACCTAATTGTCAAATCGATAATAAATAGTCCCGACAGTTTTAAGTCAATTGAAAAAGGGACAATAATATTTTTTAAAAATCTATTCGATTTAAAGTTTATCAGTTTAACATTTTCAAACCAGTAGGAGGTAGAAATATTGCGTTCTTTTCACTTCATTTCAATGGGTATTTCAATTTTTATTGATAAGGTATCTGTGAAAGTGGGGGTGAATTATAAAGCTTAATTAGCAGGTATGCACTTTAACAGAAATCAATGAAATGACATTTTTAAAATGTAAACCTGTATATAGATAAAGGTTTGTAAACCATTATTCATAACTATCAAATATTTTTCAAGCCATTCATTAGAAAATTGTTAAATATTTTTTTCATATAGATCAATGAAAAAAATATACATTTACAAAAATAAAACGTAAACATAAAAGATAAATTTTGATTTTTAATCATAAACAATGAAAATGTCGGTGATATCCAACATTTATGATGATGAAGATGGTGATAATGATGATGATATTAGTTATAATAATGATAATGTCTTAAAGAACACAAATTTTCGTAGTTGTTTGCTGTAAAAACTATATGATATTTTATCATTAATGTCATATTTCTTGTCATTATTATTTCAAAAAGATATTCAATGAAAAAATACAATCAATTCCATTAAACATTATTTAATGTGAATTTGATATATTGAAGGGAAAAAACGATAAAAACGATAAGCTATTTCTTAAAATGACTTACCAGGAGTCTGAACTGTAGTATTTCATTATATTTGTCCAATCATGTTTGTATATCTTACATAATTGAGCAGTTTATTTACGTCTGGAAAATATAGAATGTCAAAAACAAAAATTGAAAACCTACCTAAAATTAAGAATCCGGCGTCATGCCCTTTAATAATAAATAATCAGTAGATATTTGAATATATTTTCACATGATATTCCTCCTTAACATTTAAACATATAATTAATTGCAAGGACATGCCAAGGACTTTTCTTTATTCGATATATTGATCATGCGCAAACAGTCATAACAACCGACTGTAACCAGTCAACAACGAAAGACAGCAGTCGATCAAAATAGAGTTGTAAAGAACAGATAAAATATCAAATAAAGATCTATTAAATGTAAGGTAGATTTGAAATAGCTCGGTAATATACACTTACTACTCTGTTGATGTCCATTATTATAGTGAAGAAAAAAAGATTTTATAAACACATAATCATAAGCAGCAATACTGTAGTATGCCTACTTGGACATAAAACATTGCATAGCCTATTGATAAAATTTAGCCCGATGCCTGAAATTCTGCAAAAAAAAATATCGATTTATAGTCCAATTCACAGGCTCAACCAAACCGAGCCTGCAACATTTTCAATTTTGTCTTGCTGGGCTTTTCTTCAGGGATTCTTTATTTCTCTCTATTTTACAATAGAAAAATTAACGGATCGTTACAAATACAAATTTTAGATTTCTTTTTTAATTTACAGGATTTGCATTAATGTATTGCGTGAAACAATCAGTAAAGGTCCAAGGTAAACAACTCTGACTATTAACAAAATATAAATACACTCAAATTACTGACCTTGTTAAAATCGAACCAAAAGTAGTCATAATGTATAATTTATTTCAAAATGATAGTGATACATTGCCCTTACTTGTACTACCTCTATCATTTTGATATTTTACAAGAAATACGGACTGTTTTAATGTGTGTGGGATACACAGGCAAATATCTGTGGAATTATTGCAATATCTAAATATAGTTATGTCATAATCAGTCAGACTTTAACTATAACTGTTCATGGTTGCGATGACTTTAATTAAAAAAGTTCTGTGTTTGGATCAAAAATAATTTGAAGACGATGTTTAGTCTGTTACAATAAAAAAAGTTTGAGCCTGTTCACCGCCGTGGTTAATGCAGTTATGTGCCATGTAAATGTAATAATACATGACTGTATTGCTGTATATTTCGTGTATGTTAAACTTAATATGAATTTAACTAGTTCATTCCCAATAGCTGAGTTATGGTGATTTTAATCAACGTGCAGCACCACTAGAGATCTCTTGAAGCTTGTTATTTGTTAAAACATTAATTTCTAAAAATATTCTTATACTATCTAACTGGAGAGGTACAAATACAATAGTACTGTTAACAAGTAGGAAAGTAGGAAAACAGTTGGCTACCAACGTATTTTGTTAATGTAATCTTCAAAACAGCTGGTCTTACTATAATTTCATTTTAACCGTAAAAGAAAGCACATATTAATGAACAGGCATAACAAAATGGCTTGTATGTCACTTTTGTTTTCGTAAACACGTTCTAGTGTCAATCAGCCGTAGAGACACGAACAGTGTGCTTTCTTTAAGCATCATACGAGACAAATAGCTCGATGTCTCAGGCAATACAGAAAAGCAAAATTATTTAAAGATAAACTATGCTCATCTGTGAGTAAAACACTTTTATCGCAGAAATTTATTGAAATTTATAAAATGTTTAATGAATATGTCTTTTTGAATAAAATACTGTACATATTGTATATGTGAAGCTGTGTTCCCTAGATCACAGGTCAAGTAAAGACAGTGCTTTCTTAGAAAAAACTGTCATTGTTTTAAATGACTCATATTGTGTTAAGCGTTGAAAAACAGAAAAATATCTACTTTGTGTAAAGTAAAAAAAAACATGTATATTTTTACCAAGAGACTGTGTTGCAATTATATAGATATTTCTAAATTCCAAATTTGGGATGCATTGTCGATCTATATATCAATGAACATATGCGTATTGTACTGATTAATATTGACAAAACACACTCAAACAACAGCTTCTATACGCTAGCTAGGTCATCAGTCTTGCAAATGGTATTGAAAAGCAAACACTTTTCATGAAGTATTTGTGATTAGGATAAAAAAAATAATGCTTTTCATACCAATCCTCTTGATTTCAATACATTTGTTTTTGCAAAATTTCTAATAACTATTTGCAATATGCATAATTCAAGCGTTATTTTCATATTTCAGCGTAATAATGGTAATCCAGGGTATTACAAAAACTTGTTATTATTTATGATATGTTTAATTCATATTCAGCAATGTAACAATTTATATAATGTTTTTTATCACCAAAACAGTTTTACATTACTTTAAAATTTAAAATTAAGTTTTAGAAAGTCTTGAGTATATGCCTAAAAATGCATAGACTGTAAATATCTTTTGACTTTAATTATTAAGATAAATCATCTACTGTAACAGTTGGTTCTAGCCAATCACGTCTATGGATCTGAAACGAAAGAAGGAATAAATGAATAATCGGAGTCGATCAACATTACAATTCTTAGTAAATTGGTTTGATGAAAAAATACTCTTCAGAAAACATTTTTTAGTCTTCAGCTTCTGTCACAAGATCCAACAGAAATTATCGCTAGTCAATTTATGTAAGTTATTACTCTTTCTCCATTGGACATTGTGTGTCAAACCACGTGTTGTTTCGTTGCACTGCAGTATTACGTATTATAAAATAATATGATTCATGTTTTGTTCATGTGACTTAAAAAACTGGTCTGGCACTGACCAGATAACGTTCTTGACAGTGTCAGTTTACATAGGTGCAGTTTTTCAGTTGAATTCAACTTTTAATACTACGTTTGTAAGTAAAATGAAAGAATACAAGCCCTATGATGGTTACAAGGTCGACCAGCAGTACAAATGTATTCTACACGTATTTCTTGAAAAAAAGGAAAAGAATCGGTTTAAATGATTACGCTAAACCTCTATAAGCAATCTATATTCATCTCTTTTGAGCCTGGAACTTCCCAGAAATGGGGTCATGTGAAAGAAAATGGCCGTGACCCAAGTGCGGCTCAAATAAACGATAACACTTTGTTAAGTGGTTAAAAACATAATTACTGCTGCTTCCGTTTACATTTTATTATGTATCCATATTTCCAATCTATACAATGTACCCACAATATCAAATGAGAAGAAATAATTATTTTAAGTCGTGCAGCATAGCTGCACATTATCGACGCATATAAAACTACTCACGCCTCCGGTTTTTCACATATATAGTGAATGTTGCTATGACATGAGTAGTCAAACCATTCCCAAGTTCCCGCATGATTACGTAGACAGGCACAGTTCTCGTCCGAGTTGGCATTATTTGGTTGTCCTGGACTCTAATCAGTAAATGATGTGGATGTTAAAGTCTCATGGCTGTTCATCCAGACCCAGGTTCCTTCTTCGCGAATATCTGATAGAGCAATCCAGTACACCGCTGTAGAGAATCAAATACATGAAATAATAAAAGACCTGGAGAGGAAGTGATCTCTCGGGGGCAATGAAAATAACAATATGGTATGAAAATTGCAGACTCTGGTGGAGTATGTTCATGAAAGTGCTACATCACACACGTCCCCTAACACTGGCTTAAGCGATGTTAATATTCAACACAAACGTGTGATCCGGAAGGTCAAAAAACATATAGAAAATTGTCATTAAAGTGAAGAACGGGATAACTTTTTACAGCAGTCACCTAGTCACCTGGTACTCGATACTTGGAGGTATAACAATCTGGAATATTGGTGTTCTTCCGTAAGCTGTGAAACAAAATCATTATATGAAAATTACAGAATCGGTTTGATTGGGTCAGTTCAAGAGAGATAATGTAAATGCAACATCTCTCACAACCCAGACACCGGCTTTTAAAAACTGTAATCCATCTTCAACACTAACGTGCTGGGATCAATGATCCCAAACAACAAGAAAACAAATAACACTGAAGAAAGGTAGTAACTTTAAAGCATAAACTTTGTTATGTAAAAAGGGCTTAAATTATCATCTTAGGACAGTATCATTCGTTACAACTGTAACTAAATCCCTCGGTCTAAAAATTAATCACTGGCGTCTGTCATTGGTCAATGATAAGAACAAAAAAGTTAATTTTACATATCATATAATGACTTTTAATTATTAACGATAATTCATGTGCGGTACAAAATACATGTACAATTTCCATAATGTTAATAAAAATCAAAAGTGTTTATTGGTTTTTAAATCAAGTCGGGCTAAACATCGCACTTTAAATCGATTTTATTTAATTATAAGTTATACAGTGAATGAATAAAAGCAAATAAATATGAAGAAAAAAATTATCAACAAAGAAGACTGGCATTAAGCATTCTCCCACACGACCCACCTGCAAATGCCCAGGATGACACTAAACAAAGACAGGACAGGACACATGGCAAAGCACGAATGGGGTGTTTATTCAAATTATAAAGAATAGGAAATAATAGAAACCGACAAGGAAATTAAAGAAGGCAATTAATTATTGTGCCTACAAAAGTAAAAGGGTGTAGGGAATGGATAAAACATACTTTTCAGAAGTTTGGCACTTAATTCTAGGAATTTATTTTCACTTTCGTCATTGATCTCGACGAGATGACTATCTAGTTCTCTGCAGGTGTTCTGAAATGTTTTTTTAAAAACATTTGATGATAAACTACACAAATTAAATATTTGCTTTCACTGACGCCGGGAATCAAACCCGGGTCGCCCGATTCACAGTCCAGCGCCTACCTATTGAGCTTAAGAAGTAACTTACAGTTGAGTGTATATAATTTTCTTCTAATCAATATCCAAACATCCAAGGATATGTTAAATATGAACAGCAATTTTTATATAGCTTATATTAAACGTTATTTTTTATTGAACAAACTGGCTTAGACTTTATCAAAATAAATTTCTAATTACCTCCCTTTATTTACATAAACTGTTACATTCAGTTATATCTTTACAAATAATTCTTTTTGAAACTTACAATAATATTAAAACTTTATTCGAGCATCAAATTTATGAAATTAACCCATATAAAAATTGCGTTACAGGATCTTTAATCATCATATGAAATATAATTCAATATACAAACGACGTCTAGAGAAGCAATAAGTACACATTTCTATGTTCGATAGGTGTGATAGCTTAGAGTTTGATCGAATTAGTATCTGGTTCGTGAAAATACCAGTTCTGATGACACAAAGTCATGAAGGAACATGGTCACGATCCTATAAAGACAACAACCATCTATCCATTAATTCATAAATTGCGAGACAGATAACTTAAGCCCTTGCTCATCGCCTTAATGAAATATTTCGCAGCGCTGTCTAATTTGTCAATGAATATCAGTTAAAATCTAATGATCTTCTTGATACGAGGTATCTTTCAGCGAGTAATTTTGCACTAGTACACACAGAATCTTATCTCGAATATGTATAAGGCTATATAAGCTCAGAAACACATTTTCGAATCCGTTTCTGGAACCAACCGGTACTAAGCAATGAGCTTTTTTGCTTAAGGAAACCACGGCTAGCCATTGGCGTTCAGGTGATTCCAAAAAGGAATATGTTAAGATCAATGTCATATGGAATCTTGTGTCCGCGCTTGACTTTTCTCGAAAAGTATCCAATTATCACCTTTTTTCTGTAATCTTAGACACGAAAATATCAAAGTCTCAAAGCGTTTCACGAGATAATTGCCGAACTGAAAACTTTACATTTTCGACATTCTAATGTAATATTAAAGCCCATAAAGCTACAGTCTCACTAACATCCCGGCAGAGCCCCGGTAGACGTCCGGGGTGACCCGGGAACGAAAGGGGCACTACCGGGAACAACCGGGGTACATCCGTAACTCTGCCGGCAACGTCCTGGATGATCCGGGATGCTCCGGGAACATCTGGGATTCGACCCCGGATGGAATAAAATATTTAATATCACCGAGGTGGTCCGGGATGATCCGGGAAGGTGCTTTGTCGGCTTCATCCTTAGCTCTGCCGGGAACGACCGGGGTTATACCGGGAAAGCACCGTAGCTCTGCCGGCACAAACCGGGGATGATCAGGGGTCTGATATAGCCGGTAGAGCTACGGTAGAGCCCCGGTATATGCCAGCAGAGCCCAGGTAACTACAGGCAGAGCCCTGGAGGATAAAGGTAAAGCTACAGTTGATCCCGGTAGAGCCCTGGCAAAGCCCGGATCATTTAAAAAGAATAACGACATTTTGCGATGATTGCACTTGTTTGTATTAAAAGCCTTCCCGTTTCCCTTTTATACAATATGGCATAAGGATTTTTCAGAAAATCATCATGAATTACTATTCTGGAACAATAGATATTATATTAAATAAAAATTATGTATCAATATTATCATTTTCGTGCGTTTTCAAACCACGGGGTTCTACCGGGGCTCTGCCCGGATCGTCCTTGGCTCTGCCGGGACTCTGCCTGGATCGACCGGGGCTCTGCCTAGGTCAACCGGGGCTCTTCCGGCGTCATCCGGGAACTACCGGGGAAGCACCGGCATGAACCGTAGCTTCACCTGGGCTCTGCCTGGATGATCCGGAGGCGCCATCCTGGGTAGTAAGTAGGGAACTACCGTAGTGCTGCCGGGGTAAGTGTGACTGCAACAATAATTTCATCCCGAGACGTCCCGGATCAACACGGTAACTTACCGGGATGGTCCTGGGCTCTGCCGGCAGTAAGTGAGACCGAGGCTTTAGATTGAAAGCGGCACATTTTCTACTTTTTGCATAAACACTCACATTAGTCTGAGTGTATCCGGGTTCGTATGACATTAAGTGTATGAAAGACTTGTAAACATATTTTGTATGAAATTTAATACATACCATTGCACCTATCCAAGACTCTGTGTCGTGACTAAAGTGGTAACAGGAGGCACCATGAGTCACAAAACCTGTTGGACAGCCGCCTTCCGCTGTATGAGATATTAATCTTTATTTTTTTTAATTGCAGTGTACTTTCCGCAATAAACCTTTAACGTATTAAGCGGCTTTTGCTCAACGCAACCGGCGGCCGCTGTAGTAAAGAGCAGTGTTTAAAATGGGCAGAGGTGTCGAACATTTACTTTTAAAGACTAAAGATGAACAAAGTTTAAGTTTCAAAACGAAGCTCAAATCAAATATGCATGGCAAAATAACTATTTATCGTAAAAAGAATAAGACAAATGATATATCCTAGTAATGGGTTTTCTGTACAAATACCCGCCTTTTTGACAAAAAATGGTATACCGTTGCAGGAAAGTGTATAATTGTTTTTTTTTACAAAAAGGTTGTGTACCGTGACATGGACGAATATACTAGTACCCGCCTTCTTGGCAAAAAGATGGTTTTCTTTAGCTGAAACCGGTATACAAATATTTTCTTAATGATATATTATATTTTTTTCACTACAAACAAGCAAATATCTTTTTTTTAAGTACTTTTAATGAAAAGACCGATATATATATATATACTTAAATCTTTTTTTATGTTTAAGACAATGACAAATAGGAATGTATTATGTGTACTCCATGTTTATAATGTACAAACTCAGACATACCATTTCCCATAGCATTTACGCCTATAACAATGAGGATTAACAATGTTTCGTACTCCATGTTTATAATGTACAAACTCTGGCAGTTCACATGGTATAAAAGTTTGATTTAATTAAGTAAGTTCAAAAGACGGTCAAATCTTATCTGGAGTTCTTTGAGTATGTAACGATTGACAAAAGTTCACTATTATAATAGTTAAATATGTTTATATTATTAATAAATAGAATACCTCCAAATGAATTTTAATTTAGATAGCATTTTAGCAGCAAAAATGTTATAAAGCACACGAATTTATTGTTTAATGCTAACCTAGTGCATTTGCAAATCCCACAAATTGTAATTTTATAGTTTCTAAAAGCGTTTGCATTGAGAATATAGTTGAAAATAATCGATCAATAGAAGAATGTCTTTGGAGACCGGTTTTCGTCGAAGACGGGAGAGGGTCTATTAGAAGGTCATCCGTTTGTATCATTCATAAATGGCATGTAATAATGATATGTGTTTTTTAAGCGAAATCAAACATTTATTTCTTTTTATTGTTTTAAATACGATTGTGTGCATAATTCCGTGCAAAAAAAAGTTAATCGCAAGTTTACACAGAAAATATCTCTATTTATTAGGGCAGATGCCACTATGAATGTTTGAATTTTGTACATTTTCATTATAAACAATTCATTTTATGTAAACTTTTAGATATAATTATATCAAAGGAACATTGATAATTTTCAAACACATCAAGTTTTTCCACCTTAAACAGTTAAATAATGATATAAAAATAGAGATGTCATAGAAGCATACACATATTAGTGTTATGAACATAATAAGGTGTACTTCCCAAGAGCTAAATCCGTAATGTACCGGACAACGGTGTTTAGCTAGGTTTTCGAAAAAGTCAATTAACCAATCATGTACAGTTTACATATCACGTGCTCCTCCATGTACCGAAAACAGGTCACGTGCTCCTGCATGCATAAAAAAATAATCGCGTACAAATAATACCCACGGGTTCCAGCCAAAGCTGCATCAGTACTAAAGGTGTAGTACTAAAGTACCAGTACCAGTACTTGGCAAATTAAGCAGTACCAGTACTAGATTTGAGCTCGGTACTGCAGTACCAGTACTTTTTAAGTATCAGTACCATTACTTTTATATATTCATCAAAGTTTGAATAAATACAGTGTCAAACAAATAATTGCAAATGTTATATAGCAAAGAAATAAAATCATAATTTACTTTAAACTTTACACAATATGTTAACAACTTGATTGTTTTAACATACTTTTTACAAACAATATTTACAATATATATTCATATCATATCTTATTGTTTAGTAACCAGTCAACTGTAATACAATGCAACATATTTCATTTAAAACACAACAGTCTTTTGTTGCCTTTTACACATTCACAGCTCTGTTGAATTTAAACCAAAGTAAACAACAACTTTTTATGGTGCTAACAATATCACTTGAAATAGGATTATTTAGAAATGAAGCAATTAATTAGTGATTATTTTGCTCTTTTACTAGTAAATACAAAGTAATAAAAAATTTTGATAAGGCTATTTTAGGCTAAAGAGTAATTGAGTCTGTTTATCTCAAATAAATTGTTACTTAAAGTCTTTGGTGCTTTTTATGATGAATACTATGTTAACATTTGAAGGAATATTGCAGCAAATCATCTATGGATTTGATAACTTACTTTTTACAAAAATAAAACAATAAAATTTACAGCTTTATTTTATGAGAAAAATTGAGGCAATTTTTATCAAAACCCAAAGTACTGCATTGTAATGCAGTAGCAGTACCACTTTTTAAGACAGTAATTCAGTACCAGTTGTAGCAAAATTTTGTTAGAGTAATTCAGTATCAGCACCAGTAGTTTCAAAATCGCTGCAGTATGTACTGCAGTACTAGTACCAGTAATGCAGCTCCGGTTCCAGCCCAAAATGGTTTCTTACAGAGATAAAAGCAGGGAGATTCCGATTGCTATTACATGTTTCGAAATATGATGCATTCGTAAATTTCAGACCCTATTTGTTGTACATGTAAAACTTTACATGGTATATTACACCGGAAAGTACATACTGGTCTGGCTCTATAAATACTGGTCCGGATTTAATAAAATCCGTGATACTGGAAGCAAAATATTACTTTCGGTACGCCATGTAATCAATTGGTTATGGTTATCATTATCTATTTGTATTTACATAATTTTGGTAAATAAAGCTGTGCTTAAGTAACATTTTAGACTTTCATTGATATTTTCATTTAATATAAATTTAAGGGTATATGTACAGATATTTACATTCAGTTTTTTTTTTGTTTTTTTATTCTTTCGTGTGATGAAGCTATCCAGCTAGCTTACGGGACGTCGGTGGTTCAATTCAGGTGCCCGTTCGTGCCTGAAATAATGCACGAAGGGAACCTGAGGTCTTTCTCCACCAGTAAAGCTGGAACTTCGCAATATGACATATACTGTGTCGATGTGACGTAAAGCTCCAAACAAACAAACAAAAAACAAATATTCAGTTATAACCTATTTAAAAATTATAAGAAGTCGGGACTCCAGGATTTTTACCAGAGTGGGCGGGGAGTCATAACCTCCTTACAACCCTCTGGATGCGTGTAAGATAAGAAAATATCTAAGTGTAGGTAAGACATAATTAACTTTTTTTAAAGAAAAGAAATACATTTGTTTAAATAAGGAGCGATTGGTGTTCCAGTGGTAACAGACTTGGCTAGAAATCTAGGAGTCACATCCCGGCTGCATCACAACAATACTCATGACTGTCGTGTGTGACCTTAAAAGCCAAAGTCCTGTGTATCGATGCTCTACATTGAGCATGTAAAAACGGGATCGCTTCCGGAACGAAGCAAAATGGCATTATCCATGTACTCCTCAGCCAACACAGCTCCCCCCCCCAAAAAAAAATTATTAAAAACTCTTCAGGACTATAAGACATAAACTATTTACCAACAAAGAGAAAATACAAAACTAGCATCTAAATAAAGAGGTAGATAGTCTTTTGCTATAAAAAGTAGCTTTTAAATCAAGATATTGCTACTTAATTGTAAAAGTATCGGCAGCAGCCTTGCAACAACAAAACAGATGCAACAACAAAACAGAGATCAACGTTTTGTAGATTAGTAGCTACATTCCTGCCCCTTTCGTACAATCCCGAGTCTTCAATGCAAGTTCTGGCACGAGTTTCGCCGAAAGTTTGCATAAGGACAAACTGACCATCAAAAATGAAGCGCTTTGAGATATAAATGTAGAGGACTTGGTTATCTTCAAACAGAAGAAATTCTGATGGTTCTAGCTCAATTTGTACACACATGTATAGTCCAGTGATAATATGTGCTTTCTGAAAAGGAATTTTAGAATCATACACTAATTCATACTGTGGTTTTTCCAGTTTCTCCCTTATATTATATGATTTATAATCTTTACTCCGATGGTTTTGACTCCACAATGACAAACTCATAGAAAAGTTTGCTGATTTTAGAACTTCCGTGGTATTGCCTAAACGCATTGACCATGTTGTTCCAATCATTTTCTTTATGCTTGTAATTAAGATGCCCGGTTTAACTTTTGACAGTTTTCTATGCATAATGATAATAACATTGTTCGACATTTGTGGCTCATCCATCGCCCTATAGTATATAGAATCAATCAACCATCTTCTCATCCATGTTGATTTTAGAGAAGGCAAAACTGCTGCAAATATTTGCCCGTATGTAATATCAAAGACCTCAGATACGTTAATGGATTTGTCCAATGTAAGATTAATATATACCGCATATATTTGATTGTACCAAATATTAGTCGGATATACACACTTATCCATTCTGTCTCTCAGCTGTCCACTCGGACAAAGGACTTGACGGCAGCTAATTTCCTAGGATAAAAAAGACAATTCTAAATATAACACATAAAATGCACATTGATTGCACAGCAAACCGAAATAACGGCAACTCTTATAAACTGTGAAATAAGTGTTTATTTATACTATGATTGAACAAAAAAATAGATCGCCAGATCATACTTTTGCACAAAACTTAAGTTACTCGAAACTGTCAATTTTAAAATTTTCAATAACATAAAAGATGCTTTCCTAGAAACTTATTTTATATTATCTATTCATTTTATTACATGTCAAAGTGATATTTTCTTGGCAATGTATTAATTCAATGAAAAATTGTATATCACTGAAAACCTGACTCAAAACAACTTACATCTTTTATTGCGCATGCTGTTGGTAATTCCTTTACCTTGGAATGGTGTCTATCACTAGTCACAGCTATAAAGCCACCATCAATCAGTGCTATAAATCCTTCTTCAAAACCACTTTTACCTCCCAAGATAAAATCTTCACGATAATTTTGGCAAAATGTTTGACGATAAAAATACTCTCCATTACAAATGTGACAAAAGACATTTGCATACATTTCCAGATGTCGATATGGCGACACCATGCCACTTTTTGTACAGAGTGTCCTTATATCATCTTTTGAAACATTTATTCCTGCAGGCACTTGAAAATCCTGAGATTCAGGGCAAGTGTCAATGAGATTGCTGTAACATGTCAACGGTTGTAAAACATCGTAAGTACCAGGGAAGATAAAATGTATTTGACAGCTTTCATAAAATGAATATTGTTCTGTTCCACTCGAAATCATGGTGATACCTTGCTTGACGTCGGCGTCTGTGCATTTGATAACCGCATCCCAATTTATAACGTCAGTATCTTTACCATCTTGTTTTGCGCATTCTATATTTTTATAAATTTGTCCTGACTTTGCAGAATAAACGGGATAAAAACTTCCCCAAGGAGCAACATTTATATCACCACAGGATGAATCAGATACGCCTTCCTGTCCGCCTGATGAAATATTCTGAACAGAGGAAACCATAAAGAACGACTGATATAAATATTCATCTCTTGCTGGATATGGCAATGTAGGATAAAGGCAAGAAAGACCATGTTGAAACTTCTCCAGTTTTCCATTTACGTGATCTTTTGATAGCATTGCATCCGGAAAGCAACAGTTACCAGTTTCAATGCATTCAGCTGAGCATGAACATTCTGTAATAGAAGGTCAGTTATTGCCAAGGTTTGTTATCGAAGGGGGACAAAAAGCA